TCAACTGAACGCTGTCTCCGTGTCATTCCTTCTTTGCCGACTCCGTCCACACCTTTGGGGACCCCTGGACCTGCTGGGGTTGGACCCCAGCACTCCCTTAGAATTTTTCATTTCAGAAGTACAATAACATGTCTGTGTTAATTCTATACCACAGTTCATACGAGAGTGACTCACACTGACCAAATTATACCTTAAAGTTGAGAGTTGAGTGTTTCTTAAGTGTTTCCATTACAAGCAAAAAAAAAAGGGGGGGGTGCTATAAATGAATATTTGTGATAATTTATTAATCTAATGAAGTAAACCCAGTTAACATTTTTCAGATGTAAATGACATACTGATTATGCTTTTCTGGGATTATTTAATATCTTGCCAGATGACAATCCTAATATTTTTGTAAATTGTATAACTAAAAAAAAAAAAGAAACTTCGAAGTTCATTTTGTGAATGATCTTGGGAAATATCAATGGATCTTCTAGAGATTTAAATGATGAGATCTGGGCAAAAAGCATTCAGATATGTGAGAAATTATATAACAACACATGCACCCAATAAATTTACTCTCCAGAAAAAACTTACTCAGAAGATGACTCAATCAAGTCACTGTCTGAACTGGTTAAGATATTAGAAAATATATTCATTATAGTTGAGCCAAGAGTTATATCAATATTTTCTTCTTTATTCACAAGTTTTTTGACCTGTTCTACAATGTTGGTAATATTGGCCGAGTTTAAGGTCTGTCCATCACCAGTTAAATTTAAAATCTGATTGGCAACTTCATTTGCTTCCCCTAAAAAAGACAGACAAAACAACATATCAAGTTTTACCTATTTTTTTAAAATCATTTCTAGGATTTTAAAAAAAAAGTGATATTTAACTTCATAGTTTAAGCAGCATATCAAGTTTTCTGTGTATACCCCCTACTAACAATCTTCACAGAGCAATAATATTTCTTCACACACAAACTAACTTCTTTCTTTAGTAATACACAAATTGTGCCCTTACGCACATATTGGTGAGACCAATATTCACATTAGTTCTAACAGAAATGGACCCAGAATAAATGATTATTTGCTATTTAAAATAATACAAAACTATAAAACATTGATATGAATATCAATGTGTATATTATTTTTGTTTTCTCTAAAAATGTTAAACAGTTTTTAGAATGAATACAATAGGAAATCAGAATGAGAAAAAAAGTATTTTTTACCTTAAGTAAGTGAAATTTATCATTTGCTAGCTTTTTAATATTACAATAATATCACATGGCAGAAGAGCATGTCTGAAGAGGATGAAAACCATGAAGTATGAAGTCATTTCCATTTGTCTTTGAGAACTGAAGGAAATCATTCACTTACTTGAACAATTGGAAATATCAGGATCCCCCCAGTAGATTAAAGATGTGTTGGAAAGGTCACGATAACTATGAAACAAAAAAAAAGTATTTCAAATATTTGGCATAAATGACATAACTGACAAAATTAGGTAATGAAAAGTTTTAGAATTTGCCTTGATATCTATGTGTTTCATTTGAAAATAAAAGTATAATATACTGAAATTAAACTCCTTAAATTAAATTCTTATTGGGAAAAAATATCAAGTGCATGACTCATGGAAACAAAACACTAGCAAGAGCCTGTAGGCTAATCTAGGTACATCAGGTTACTAAGGCTAAAGCCATATTTGCTAACATGGGTCAAGTACTGCTTTAAGAACTTTCCAGGTAAAATCTGACATTGATTTCACATAACTCTGTAAAGCAGTCCACATTTTATAGATGAGAACACAGACTAAAATAAGTCAAGGGATTTCCAAGGTCTCAACCAGGAAGAGGCAGAACCTTGCTTCACACTCAGGTCAATGTCTACAGACCCCTTGTCCTCCTACCATGTGTGAAACACAGTAGTAGGAGCAAAGTTTCTGTTTCCAAAGCCCCCCACCAACAAAACCCTAATCTGGAGTGCGGTTGAGGGTGAAGAACTGGATTTGATTTGTAGTTGACCTGTGGTTTCTGTTAAACATTCAGGGAAAATCTCGACCCTGACAGCCCCCATTAGCAAATTGCTCTGACCCACATCCTATCTTCATTCCCTCTTTGGCTGCCTCTTCCCTCTCCAACAATAGTTATCCCAGGTAATTAAAAAAGTCTTGGAATTTCACATGCATGGCCAAAGGCTGTCAGCTAGCTTGGTTCATCCATATATAAGGTGCTTTGCTCTAGAGATACCCTCTGGTTTCCAAATGGCTCCATCTTTCTTTGGAGAAGGCTAAATTCAAACGTTGCCTGGAGTAAGAACGCTTTTATCGGTAACCTGCCTCATCCTTACCTCTCATGGAGGTTATCATTTAGGCACACATAGAGATTCTTGCCCTTCTTTCTAAACAACAAACAATGCCTGGGAACTTTGGTGCAATATGTGGATCCCTGGAAAGGTATGATGATGTGAACTTTGCTGGCAAATGTCAATGAAGGTATTACCAGGTCCGTGAAGCATAAAATCCCGGCTTCCCTGGACAACGGTGCCTGTATTCAGAAGGTAGGATAACTGGCCAGTAAAAGCCTTTGGGTTTCTCCTCCGCAGGACATGTGCCTATGTGAAAATAAGAACCAACATGAGAAACATTAATCTATTCTTTGAAGTTAGAGGTGCAAGATGACAGCAAGATAACAATGCTGCTAACTAGGTATTTATTTCATGTACCACCAAATTACTAGATTTTTGTGTTCTGAATCTGTAAAAATCTGACATTAGAAATTTGGAAAAATAACCATTTACTCCATTTCAGATGCAAAAATTATTATAGATTACACAACCATCAAATAAAACCATATACTTAAGAGAATATATCACTCTAAAGGAAATCATTAGCAGGTAAAATGAGTACAATAAAGGACTATTAAAAAAAAACACTATATAAAATGAGAACAGTCCTGAAAACTTTGAAATGTAAATTCTCCTCTGATCTTTTTTCAAAGGGGAAAGCCTATAAAATAATGTCATCATTGAGTTGTGGGGATATTTTCTGGAAATGTCTCTAGCTGCTCTGAAAGCATCTTCTGCCTATTAGTTTGCTAGGGGAATGGCAAGAAGACACCATTGTGCCCTAGCCGGCTTGGCTCAGTGGATAGAGCGTCAGCCTGCAGACTGAAGGGTCTCAGGTTCGATTCCGGCCAAGGGCACATGCCTGGGTTGCGGGCTCGATCCCCAGTGAGGGGTGTGCGGGAGGCAGCCGATCCATGATTCTATCTCATCATTGGTGTTTCTATCTCTCTCTCCCTCTCCCTTTCTCTCTGAAATCAATAAAGAAATATATATATTTTAAAAAAAGAAGACACCTGTGTCCACCGCCACACATCTTACACACATGCCTCCATCCTCAAATCATCCCACCTGTTGTTTGAAAACTCTCTGAATAAGTGCCACACTATAAATGATTCAGATTTTACAACTTAAAAAATATCAAAAGAGTCCCACTGGTGTTGCTCAGTGGTTGAGCATCGACCTGTGAACCAGGAGGTCATGGTTTGATTCCCAGTCAGAGCACATGCCCAGGTTGCGGGCTTAATCCCCAGTGGAGGGCGTGCAGCAGGCAGCTGATCAATGATTCTCTGTCATCATTGATGTTTCTATCTCTCCCTTTCCCTTCCTCTCTGAAATCCATAACAATATATTTTTTAAACACCAAAAGAAAACCAATATATTGGTAACAATGACAACAACAAAATCTTGTATTTCAGTACTGAAAAAAAGTGGAAAGTTATACCATACTGCTGGGAACCAATACTGCAGTCACCGATTGAACATTTAAAATGACTTTCTCACCTATATTTGGAACCTTAAAATTGTCAAGGGTTAGCCTATTTATTTTTCAATTAGTAGAAACTTTTCTTCACAGATCCACTTGCAGTAAAACAATAAAGTATAGGATTTAAGTTAAGTGGTATAAATTACATGTCAAGGTATCCAGAGAGAGTTGTTCTGGGGTTCCTCAGCCTTGGAAGACAGAGTAAGGCCTGTCCTCACAGGGATCCTTCATCATATATAAACTACCATTCGTCAAGCTACTTCTTTGTGGAGACATCTATGTGTGAAAGGGCAGCATCTGTACCCACCCCACCCCTAAGAAGCCCCGTTTGTAAATAAGCAAGCATTTTTCCAAAGAGGCTCAGAAACTGTTGAGGATGATGACAATGACGATTTGTGTTCTTCCATTTTTGTGAGTTCTCTGTAACTGTGTAAGTTGACACATTAGAGATGGGAGGTTCCTGGTAGAAGGGAGATGCTTGCTTCTTTATTACACTGTGTCTGGCCTCAGTTATAACCATGGTCCCAGAGACTGAGGAATACTAGCTTCCCCCACTTCAACCTCCTGTGTGTGTATAAGGCCAAGTGTCAAAGTTTTTTTTTTTTTTTATCTCTACTAATATACCTAATCATAATATAGTTGTAATCACAGAATAACATTAGAATAAGCCTTGGCTGGGTAGCTCAGTTATTAGAGCCTTGTTCTGATAGGCCAACATTGTGGGTTCAATCTCTGGTCAGGGTACATACAAGAAGCAATCAATGAATGCATAAATAAATGGAATAACAAATAGCTATTTCTCTCTCTCTCCCTTTCTAAGTTTACTAGTACTTTCCACTGTCCACATTTTTGATCATTTGCTTTTCATAATATTACTATCAAGATACCTAGAGTACTGTAGACATTAGAAGACCATACATAGAGTGGTGGCTCAAAGGCGGTAACATCTATTTATACATGGATGATGACAGAAAAGGCTTTATAGAAAAGGTGACTCTGGGTTCTCCTTAAAACTAGGTAGGTGATGAGCAGTTGGATGGTGAGAGTAGAGAAGAGCAGCATGAGTAAAGACAAAGGAAGGAGGCACAGCATGCTGGGGAATTTCAAGCAGTACCACGTGTGTGGTTGAAGCTTAGGCTGTGTATGGTGTCTAGATAAGAATTGAATCTAAGACCTGGGTAACTCCCAGATTTCTGGCCTATTCCTGCAAAGTAGTGTCATTAATACAGACAGAAAACATAAAAGAAGGAAGTGTTTTATGATAAGAAATTACCTTTTTTAAGATTTACCTCATTCGTGTTCCTATATGCATATATAGACGCACTCTTTATTCCTAAAGTTGAAGCCAATTCTGCTCAAGACTCTCCTGGCATTGTGCTCATACCCTTAGTATTTTCATAATACATCCCCAAAAGAGACTATAAACTCTCCCCTGCCTCTTTCATTTCTTTAGATTCATAGGCATCGAGTTGATTTCTTTTACGCTAACCATGTCATCCATTTGTTACAATACCACTATGATAAGTTTCATCAACAGAAAAAATAGCTTTAAATAAGGAAACAACACACATAGGAAGAATATTTCTTTTGTTTCAATTAAACCTGAACATATAATCATGTAAAATACATATAATAAAAAAATTAAAGGCACTTACCCACTTGCCTCACACTCACTGTATATAGCCTCAAGCCCTCATCCAGGGACTCATTATTTTTTAAGAGCTTCTGCTGAATGACTTTTCCTTCTAAATTCAGATTGTTGGTAGCATTGTAAACCAGAAGGGCCCAAATCGCCAACCTAGGGAAACATTGTAAATAGAACTGTTGTTGGGTTGGCTGTTTTTATGTAGAAAAACAGAACATTTGGATATGGCAGTAACAGGGATGACCATAAAGTGCTGACACTAAAAAGATATTCCAAGGCACACAGAGACTTCTATTGTTGTATAAATGATAATGTCAAAAATATCTCAATGTAAATGGATTTTATAGGATATTATTTTATAATGCTCATCTATCACATCACTCCATTTCTTTTTTTATCATTTAAACTGACATTTTAAAATGTATCTTTATTGTTGAAAGTATTACAGATATCCCCCCTTTTATTCCCATTGACCCCCTCCACACAGCACGTGCCACACCATCCCATGCCTTCACTTCACAATTGTCTATGTCCATGGATCATGCATATATGCATATTTCTTTGGTTAATCTCTGATTTTTAAAAAAATTATTTTTAATAACCCATTTCTTTTGCAAAACACTCTTAGTAATATTTTATAGCATACATGCAAGAAAGGAACATAAGGTTAATTTTAGTTTCTTTATAGCCAAAAATAAAGTTTGTTAGAAAAATTGAATTTCAACAATCTGACTACACTGATCATTTGACTTTTGAAATTATTCGTGTGTTACAATTTCTCCAGAATTGTGATAACTGATTTTCCATCTCAATGAAATATTTGCAAATACTTTGCATGGTGAAAAGTTACAAAATATAGTCAGTGATTGACCAGTATATTAAGAAATTTATAGACTTTGAATGTTTTAAAATATATATACTTCTATGGGAAACAGAGATGTATCCTAAAAGTCCTATCCAAACTTTTGGCTCTATAATTTGAAGTAATATAATTTTTGGCTGAACTATAATCACAGCCATAGTCAACAGCAGAAATAAAAACTATTAATTTAACATTGAGGGAAAATTAAATGACATTATTTTGTCAGGTAGAAGAGAAATATTTTCCCTTGTATGTGAAAACTCTGGGTTTACAACAGAACTGTAATCTTTGTATTCTGAGGAGAAATGAATAATATGACATAAGTCACTATATTATCAATATCAGTGACTGTCCACATGCCAAAGTCACTGATTTCAAAATAACTATGAAGCACTCAGTAGAGCAACATTGTAGATTTTATTCATAAAATTCTGGGGGTACCAATAAAAATGAAAAAATCAGAGTATTAATATATTTGTGGTGCTAAAAAGAAAAAGTAAAATCTTTGCTATTGAAGGTTAGGGGAAATTAAAGAAGAGTTCTATTTTCCCCCTAAATACCTGTACTAATCTCAAGGACAAAATGCTCTACTGTTTTCATAATTCACTTTGAAGGGCTATTTATCTCCAAAATGATGTACTGCTTAATGTTCCTGTATAAGACACATTTCAAGATGATTCAAACATAGATTTGAGTGAACTGGCATAATAGTTTTTAACATGGCTTATTAAAAAAAGTAACCATTGATTAAATTATCATTGAAAAATAAGTTTTGCCACTCCAGTTACTGAGAACTTCAAGTTGGGATTGTGACCTTATACTTCCCTTGAATATTGAGAACATAATTAGCACAATGTATTGTTGAATACCCAATTCAGAAATTCAAGAATGAGCACATATTGTTACAGGTCTTATCTGGATTGTTTTCCTCTCTTATCCTAAAAACTAAAACCATTTTGTAGCTCTACAAAGTCAAGTTCTATCTGTTGTTAGCATCAATCATTCTTTATTTGAATAAACCAGTCTCTTTGGCTTTGGTTTCCTGTCTGTCTAGGCGATGGGAGTGAGATGGTGTTATCTGAAGCTCTGTCTGTGTTAAGTGTTACAATCAAATTGAAAGGAAAGTTTGGGTGAAAAAAAGGGTATGTGTAAAACTAGTAGACTATGGTTTTAAAAAAACTATGAGAGACTATAAAGGTTTATTAAGAGCATTAGAAAGTAGGAAAAAAGAGGGGGTGGGAAAAACCATGAGAATAAATTTTCAAACAATGTCAAAAGTTCATACCAAAGAAAAACTAAATGTGTGGATTTTCCTAGCTACACTGTCATAGTTGACTCTCCCTATGATTTTCTGTGAAGTTACCCAGTGGTTTGACAGACAGGAAACTGAGACTTCATGATTTTAAATTTCTTTCAAGCAAGAGTTTCTGAGGTGTTGACATATACTATTGTTGGCTAATTGTAGTACTGTCAGGTAGTGGAAGAATTACAGTAAATGAATTAAAGAGGGCAAGGCTGACCCCCTAACAGAGTCTACTATTGGTGATACCCCAAACTAGGGTGACCCTAAGTGCTAGAGAGTAACCAGCAAGGGATCCGGATCACTGCTGGATTCACTAGTGAAGGCTCAATATGTTCTAGCAATAAGGATTAGATGAGAAATTTATTGGCTAAATAGAGGAGAAACGTCCATTAAGAATATAGTATTAAAATACATTACTCTAGCCCTCAGATCATAAAGGAAAATGAATTTGACAAAATAAAGACTTTCCCTAATCAGATGGTTCAATCTAGTCTGTTGAATATATACAGAAATGATAAGCTTCAAATATAACATTAAAGAAATTTTTTTTTAGTGTTGAACAGAAAAAGAACAAGAAAACTTTCTGGTTAACTCTCATATGAAATTTCATTTTTATCTTCTTATAATAATAATATGTCACCTGAAAAGAAATTTTATTCCATCATTATGGTTGTAAATCCATAATTTAAATTCAGTCGATTGAAACAGAGCAAGACTTATGTAAACTTTTGCTCTTCGAGTAATTACTTTTTAATTTTATGGAGATGCAAAATAGTACATAAACATAACTAAATTTATTCCATTTAGGAGGTTAGGTTGTTTTTCAGTATATGTCATTCTGAATTGCAGGCTTTTTAATATGCCAACTGATTATATACGGTGAATTATCCATTAAATTATCTGCCTGTTTAAGTCATGATCTTGATATAAGTTTAAAATGGAGACTTCAGAAAATTAACTGATGGTTTCAAATGAAAGACATATTTTGGCACCTATTGCCCATATTATTACATGATGCTATCATACATAAATGCCTTATTTTAAAAAAGCTAAAACAATTTTATTTTTCTTTGAAGGTATCTTTGAAATGAGATGTAAATGGTTATTGTAAAAATAAAACTGGAAATACTAAACTAATAATTCATCCATTTTAAATATCCTACTTCTGAATTATTTTTCATCAGATGTATACTTATATCCATTCTGCTATATTAAAGTTTCAGCTATAAGAAAGCTAGTAGAATGCATTAATGATAAAGAAATATTCTAAACGTGCGATGTGATTTCAATGTTTCTCTCTTATCTTATTGTTTTAATTTCTCTACCAGAGAGTTAAACAGAGGGCAAGAGGCAGGGTGTTATACTTTCGGTAAGACTTTCTCAGTGTTACCTTTGATCAGTCCCAATGCTTCGCTTGACTTTAATCTTGTCTTCTCCTGAGGTCAGGTGTAAACTATAAATAAAAATACATAGATTCATTATCATCCGATATGCTATTACTACACCACAAAATCTGAGGAGATGAAAGAAAAAGGCAGAATGTACATTCTAAGGCAGTATTTCCAAATGTGTGTTCTGAGTAGTTCTAGTTTTTTTCATATGCACATGACAAAAACTAGCTGCACAGTCAAATAAGCTAAGCAACTATGTTCCTTTGCTTTCTTTTCAAGGTGCACATGCATGTTAGTATAATACTAAAGCATCTGAGATATATAGAGTGGCTTCAGATTATTTACTAATGTACTTCCTGAACTCATTTGACCAACTAATCCCTTTCTCTGTGTTATTATGTCTCTTGGGTACATAGAATATATGCTTAGGGTTCACAAAATACATTTTAGAAAGCTAATTTTGGTATAAAACTGTGAAAACAATGTCAGAGGAGCATATATGGGTGCAACTATTTGCTTGAACTTTAGTGAAGTATTTAAATAGAAGAGTGAGAGATAATTTTGAAAAGTTAGGTTACAATCAGACTGTAGATGCCTTATCTTATAAAAAATGGTCTCCAAACTAGGGTGCATGCAACCCAGGGGATGCTCTAGATGGCCTTCTGGGTTCTGAGAAGAAACTAATATTTAATTATCGTCTTTTCAATTGTGGTACATTATAACATATAATATATTCATCAAGTAATACATACACACACACACACACACACACACACACACACACACACACAGCCTAATATGCAAAGTGTCCCCTCAGGAGTTCGCTAGACGAGCACTGACCACCAGAGGTGGCACAGAATGAAGGAAGGCCCCGGCCAGCAGCCAGAAGGCCCTGATTGGCCCTGATCGCCAGCCAGGCCTAAGGACCCTACCTGTGCAAAAATTTTGTGCACCAGACCTCTAGTGTATATATAATTTCTTTTAAAATCACAAATATATTTAGGGAGTACAGGCCAAATTTAAAAATAAAATGATTAGGATCCAAAATCAATAATTTTTTTTAAATTACTGCTGCAACACTGAAGCTTCTGTGTAAAGACACAACATAATATAGAATTGTTGTAGAAAGATTATAAATATGGCACATGTGTGTATTGTGTGCTTGTGTGTGTGGGTATAATCAGAGAAAGATAGAGTAATATAAAATTAGATACTACTTTTTATTTCTCAAATAATTCATCCTGTCACTTACCTGATATTAACCACGTAAACAGTATAGTTCCAATTCTGAAAGGTTGAATTAAGCTGAAAAATACAATGGAAAAGGGTGAGTTTTGGTAAAACTTTAAAAAAAAATCTGAATCAAGTTTCTTCCCTCCCAAAAGATAAGTTGTTATTGGAATAAGACCCTGGGAAAATCCCAGAGAGCAAAAGGAGTGAAAGAAAGGTAAAGATAACAGTTACTACATCACTGTATGCTAAGAACTTTACAAATGTTCTTTTGACCCAAAACAACGAATGAGATAGGTATTATCTGCCCCTGCTGCCTTTTCAATGAAGAAACTGAGCTTAACAGAGATGGAAGAGCTTGCCCAAAGTTACCCAACTAAGAATGAGTAGATTCCAGATTGGAACTGAAGTCTGCCTGGAAACACTATGCTTTCCCTCCAGCTCATATTATAATGGGCTGCCGAGTTAGTCCTAACACTGAGAACGAAGCTGTAAGAGGGAAGATGGAAATGATAAACACTTCCATAGTCTTCAACCGACACCAAGGGACAATGACATGTTTTCCTAGTAATTACAATCTCATAAAAATATTAGTACTAAGAAAAATTATGTCAACAGTATAAACCTTTAAATAAACAAGAAGTATATTCAACATTTTGGGAGCTATGTTAATTATAATTTGGTTACTTAACAGTCTTTTTAGGTCTCAGCACCAGACTTTTTAATGAAGCAATGATTCTTCTCATTATAAATAATCAATTTTCATTATGCATTGTCCAGTACAATCACAAAACAGAATTTCCTCACTGATGTGAAATTCTCTTATTTATATACCACTCCCAAAGGGTTTCTTTTTTAGGTCACTTCTCACATAAACATTTAGCATTACTTGCAAACATTCTAAAATTAAATGTGAATTTTCTGAAACTCTGGCAATAAAAGCTAACTTTTTATATTGTAATAGTAATAATATGAATCAGGGACACCACTTATATTTCCTCTGTTATCAAGTATCTGCTTTGGTATCATGCATCTTAAGCTGACAGTGTCCAGCAAAGCTTAGCGTCAGATGAGAATGATCCCATGTTGAAAAGCATTCCTGAAATAAGTATAAATGTAAAATGATACCTCTCTAAAGCAGATTCTCCGGTGAAGACTAATTTTTGAGATTCATAATATTAGATGTGGTTTATTTGGGAATGAAAATAAAGAGTTTTATCTTTTGAAAACACTCTGACTTTTAAAAAAGAACCATGCTAGAAAAAAAATGGGATGAAATAATATACTCTTTCTGTCAAGACCGCTCTCTGTTTAGAAATGAAATATCTTCTAGTGTTTAAATTAATCACTACAGTTAATGTGTCATTCCAAAAAGTCAACAGTAGCATTTTCTTCAACTTCTATTCGAGAATTTCACTTTTACCCCCAGTTTTGTAATAGAGTTGCTAATTACATACTATTATTTCCTGTGATCAACTTGTTTTAAAGGGTGTAACCTTTAAAAATAAGACTATGTTTTCCTATCATTCAAATATGTTACATGCATATAATATATTGTCACCACTACGTCTCAAATAATGGTTTAACTCTCTTTTGCCACCAAGGACACATTTATTAGGCACCTATAAAAAACTATTTTTCTTACTTCAGAATGTATATCCAAGTGACTTTATTCACAACAGCTGTTTAACTGTAATAGGATTATATATAAAAAGTAGTTCAAAGTATCATAGTTTACCATAGATAGGAAAAATTAAAAAAAAATAATGAAAATGAAAAAATAATGTAAATCTGTGAAAGAAAATTTTTATACTGTATAAGGAAGAAAAAAATAAAACAAAACATATTAAAGTTTTTAAATTGAAAATTACAAAAATTTTCATCAATATAATACAGGTTAAATAAACTATACTGTAAATATGCATCAACTAATGCAAATAAATGACAGCCACATCATGGAACCCTATGCAGTGTTTTAAAAAAAATAAAGATAAAAGGAGGTCTGTGTGTACTAATGTTATAAATCTGGTAATAACAAAAATAAGAATGGTATATAAAATATGTTACTTTTAGTGTAACAGGGATAAAACAATCTTACTTTCTTTTATATGCACAAATTCTGGAAAAAACCCAAGAAAAAAACAGTGATTTCCAGGTTCATCTCCATGTAAGCTACAAGGATAGGTGGAAGACTTTCATGATACAGTAAGTCCTTGCTTAAAGTCATCAATAGCTTCTGTGACTTTAAGCAAAATTAGGTATAATGAAACTCATTTTACCATAGGCTAATTGATGTAAATAAGAATTAAGTATCTATGGCATCTCATCAGTCTGAGAACAAAATGACATGAATGAAATGGCATATTTGAGGACCTACTGTATATCTTTTTATACCTTTTGTTTTTGATACAAAAATTCTCAAAAAAATAATAAAATAAGAAATATACTTTTAAAAATAGTGCTGAAAATGCATGCACATTATAGCAAATAGAGATACCTACCAACACACATTTCCATTTGTGTGGCATTTCTCATTTGGACATGAATAGTCTATCAGGCTCAGTTTCTTGTCCTTTTTTTCAAATGCACTTCTCTTTCTATGCATAAGCATAATACCTCACGTACTTATCAATTTATACATTTATAATGAACAACACCTATGTACCAGCATCATCTGTGGATTGAGTTAGCCAAATAGCAGGGTCTTTTCCAGATTTCCAGAGGTTAACAGTATAAAAACAAAAAAGAAATTTTACAAGTTCACTTACCCATTCTGCCACCTTGTTCTGTACTTTTACCTCAGGGTGATGAAGGATGTTTTGAATCACTATGGAAATTCTATAGATAATTCCATCTGTCCATTAGAAATAGGATTTAGCCCATTAATTATATTTCAGAGCCATATAATTATTAAGGTAAATTTACAGTCATATAATTTCATACAATTGAAAAGAAACATCTACACAGGTACAGAAAAATTGAGATTTTTTACTTTATGTTCATTGACCTTTGCAACTTCTTAGAGTTACTGATTATACATATAGATAATTCATTCATTGCTCCTAAATCATCACCTGCACATTTCTTCCTATTTTTAAATTCTATAAATTTCTGATATCTATGGTCTGTAAAGTAGTGACCCTTCATGTACACTTTGGTTTCTTGTAATAAGAACTTAACCTTTTCTTGTACATTATAAAGAGTTGGGCATGTGAAGGTGAGTGGGATGATGGGCAGGCAGTGACTTGACAAAGAACAGGCTTACACGTATTTACTACTTCGGCCCCTTATTCTCCCTTTCCTTTCTTTCTCCTCCCCGACAAAGCTTTACTTCTGGTTTGGATTTCACTTATTTTTTTCATCAAAATTTCATGAATGTAGTCATTTGCACCAAACTAGAGGGGAAAAATAATATTTTCAGAAAGAATTTCAATTGTACTACCTTGATTTAAAAATAAAACAATGTCAGAGAAAGTTCTGCTTTTTTGGGGGGGGGGGCGGCAATCTTTAAAGCAGTATAATACACACACACACTACACACATACACACAGACACCAAACTCACCAGCCAGGACCTGCTAAATCTCTCTAGATGCTTGTTACAGGGCACCATGCTAAAATATAATAGGTTACTGAGAGAGAAAAAAAATTTGAATCTCCTCTATAGTCAATCATCTTTCTTCATGTTTATGTTTTGGTATGTCTTGAGTAAAATATACATAGAAAATGTAGAAATATGTAATTAAAACAATGGTAAGAAATGGATTTAATAAAGATTTTGGGGAGCAGTACCAAAAAATTATAAAAAGTATTCCTCCCGAATCTACCAAACTGTAAATTGCTATCCAATTACTAAAGGAATGTTTTTCTAATCTATGGGTCAGAATCTTATGCAAAAAAAAAAAAAAAATCACCACTCTGGATGTCATATAAATATATGAAATTGATACAGGTCCAAGTGAGATTAATTTATAAAGATTATGTTATTTTAGCTTCTAAAAGTCTTCAGCTATTTGAATGATCTTGAATTTGTATTCTCTTAAAAATATTCTGAATGGAAATATTGAGAAAGATACTTAAAATAAATAATAATTCAAACAAAAAGCCCTTTATACTCTAGATCTTATCATATCAAAACATGGACATTCCAAATGATTGAGAGGAAATTCAAATTGCAGAGGTCCAGGATTCTATATTTAGTTCAGATTCCTAGGGATCTTCTGTGAATGTTCCCTGATGCCAGTATAGCAACTGAAAAGCTGCCACTAGATGGAGATCTAAAGCATGTGTTTGTTCAACAGTAGTTAGCAATCTCTCCCTCTCAGGAAAATATTACAAAATACTAATTATCAGTGTTTCATATCACTGACATTTCTGAAATTTTATAGAAGCATCCAAATAGTTATGATACTTTTCTTTAAATTTTAAATATTTTCTACCTCACTTTTTTCAGTTCACTGTTTTTATAAATGAGAAAGACATCTGAGGCAGACTAAATCAACTTATAAATATAGTACTCTCCTTAGAGTTACATTGCTGAAAGCAAATAAAATATGTGAATATGCCAAAAAACCTAGCATCTTGTGTTACAGATTCTCTTGTGCTATGGATCATTACCAAGTATTCTCTCTCAGAAGCCTCAGAATGTGGTATTTTTATAGTTAGCTGAAAGCTACTCAGCAGAGGCTACTTGTTATACTTATTTAAAAAAATTTGAGTAATGTAGTTAACAATTAGTCCTGAGGAATGTCCAAGAGTGAATTGTCAAAACAAAATAAAATGTCCACCAAAGGGTTGGTGAAAGGGGTTTTGAGTTGCAGCAAAATAACTGGTTAAGCACAGCCAGTGCAGAAAATGCACAATGAAGACACTGATGCAGGCTTTTCCATGTCATCCTTGCAGTCTTCCCTATAAACGTTACAACTCCCACAGTGACTCAATAGAAAAGCTATTCACAAATCTTCATTTGTTCCAGAGACATCAAAAGATGAATGCTTTTTCCTAGTAATGGCACCCAGGCCAGAAAAATTCATGAGAGACATTTCTTTGGGGAAAAAAGTGTGTAAGAATATATCCATTTTTCAATTAGATAACACTTCTAGCCATGAAGAATATCAAACTACGAAGTATTATTTGCCATTACACATGATATTAAAAAATCTTATTCTTGTCTGGAGATCTTTCTCCAATTTAATTTTTCCTTTTTGTCTTCTTAACACACTTTTTGGAGTTTCTTGGAAGATACAGAAATGACATACTTTACTCTATAGTCAAGGTTGTGAAATATAGATTTGAAAAGTAGATTTTTTAAAAAAATCCTCACCAAGGATATTTTAAAAAAAATTATTTTAAAGAGAGAAGAAAAAGGGAGAGAGAGAGAGAGAGAGAGAGAGAGAGAGAGAGAGAGAGAGAGAGGTGAGAGATAAACATCAGTTACCTCCCACCGGCACGCCAACCAGGGATCGAATACATACAACCTAGGTATGTGTTCTGACCAGGAATCAAACCCACCAGGGCTGAAAGGTAGATTTTAAAATGTATATTTGAAAAGATAGATGTTCATTTATAAAGCAAATGTTATTTTAGATTCAAGTTTATTTCTTTGAACTAGTGATGTGACAATTACGATATGACAGTGGTATTTGTAATATGACAGGAGCCCTGCTCATCCTACACACACAATTTCTTTAAGTACAGCTAGACTGATTGTTGGATCCATACAAATATCATGAGAGGATATTTTTTATTTGAGTACTTAAATGCATGTGAGAAACTAGAAGCAGTGTTACTATATCACTTGTAAGCTAGGTTTTTTAGAACCGTAAAGACTAACAAAGGTATTTCCTTACTTGGGTTGCTGACCTCACAAAAGTTTAACACATAGTAGCATTGGAGTGATGCTGCAAGCATAGAAAATGTAATTTTGAATGGAAACAAAAATTAATCCAAGAGCTTTTTTGGGAATATAATAGAAAAGGCTAAAAGTTATATGTGAAAATAACTAGGTTATCCAGTAGTTCCTGAAATATCTGTGAAAAGTAGCTTAAAAGATAAGATTTTCTTAGTATATAATCTGAGGTATCATATCAAAGTCCTACTGAAAATAACAAAAAAAATACTTGACGGAGAAAAGTAGGAAAATTTCACAAAAGTGGGAAAAGAACATTTAATTGATATATTGAAGAAATATGTCTGATTGTTAACCAATTTCAATCCCTCTCCCCTCTCTGTTGATGAACACAGGAAAACTCTTTGATAGTCCAGAGTTAAAGAAAGCAGGTAAGGTAGAAAATAGGTTTGACAGTTTGCTCATCTTTCTTACAGTGAACAAAATAAATTCTCTAACACAGGGTGGGCAAAAGTAGGTTTACAATTGTGAGTACACGAAACACTGAGTTTATTCATGTATCATTATTATTTATTAATTACTCTATTATTTTCCATACGAACAACTTTAAACTACTTTTGCTCCACTCTTATATCAGATCATAGGCCTGAGAATGTTCACTATATCAGATTCTCAAGGAATAAAAAAAGTGCATCGGAAATTGTTGGCAGTATGTGAATGATCTTAGATAGATAGTCCAGGACATGACATCAAATCCCACTTATTCACAAGGTGAACAAGTAATTCTCTTCAATTATTGCAAATGTGACTACATCAAAGAAAAAATCTTACTTAGATTATCATCTATCTCTAACGGTTACTCTCCCTTTTAAAAAAAGATAATAAAGGCTTTGGGGGCTGGGATGTGAGAAAGCAATAGGATACAGGGAGAATCCAATGACATTGTTTTCATTATATTTATTTTCAGTTCTTTTTTAAGACCAGTGGTTATGCTTTAATTCTACAACAGTGATATCAATTTTTCCATCCAAATAAAAATGTTTAAGCAAAAAAAAGTGAGCCAATTTAGAAAAAACACCACACCTACGAAATGGATAATAGAGTTGGTTCAAGGATGTGATTAAAAGATGGTATACAAATTTGAGTACACAATTTTGAAAATATTTCTACTACATGATAACCTACGAATATTTTTAAATATTTTAAAATGCTAAGATTATATTTTTATCAAGAATCATCTGAATTAGAATATTTTTCTTAAATGTGGCCGCCAAACCATTTCAATTGACTTTAACATGTGCTTGCTTTGTTGAAACTCCAATAAAGGCTATGACGCAGAGAGATATGGAGAAAACAAGGCTCTCTTCAAGAATGTCAGAAATGACACGACTGGGTGAATGCAGCTCTACTCCACCAAGTCAAGGACTCTGAAACATCATATAAATGTTCTTGGGCAGTAGAGGATGTGCCAGTCCTGGAGGGAGAATGCCACAGAGGCTCTTTGTATGTTCATACAAAGAATGAAGTACTCGTTAGAATTATAATATTCCCATCTACTGGCTGGCGTCCTTGTGAAATATGCACTGGAAACTTCAGCTGCTGTTGCTTTCTTGGGGGTTGCTGGAATTTCTGCCCCATCATAAATCTCCTCGGTGTAACTACCAGAATAACCATAAACACTTCCCTGAATCGATGTCTTTATAACCCTTTACATTTCATGTAAAATATTCCATACTTCCAATTTAAACGTCCTTACAGAGGAAGTTGATGTAACCCCAAAGCCAAAAGAAAAAATTAACTATGTATGTTTCTTTTCTCTGGGTTTTGGTCCCTGGTGATACATTAACAGATGTCTTGGCCTCACAACTTAAATTATTGGAGTGAGAAAATCTCTTTGTTTCTAATACCTCATGTTTGAGAATATTACTGTATTTGAGGCTATGGTATAGTCACCTGATTGGAATTTCTCTTTTTCAGAAGAAACTAAAATCATTTACTCTGAATTACCAAAAAGCTATGTATATGGTCCATATAGGAAACTGTATGATTTATGATTTAGTTGATAGACAATCATACTCTAATCATTATTCGTCAACAAATAAAAACATAGAGCAAATTATTACCATGTAAAGTAATTTAAATGTCACAAATATTTAAACATACAGTTGGCTTTAGTGAAAAATTAAGTTACTAAAAGTAGATTTTTAAAATTATAAAACCCTTTAGAAAGTAGTTTCCTGAAGAGAGTAATCTAACAAAAGACCATGAAAAAAATGTTTTTTTATGCTGTCTCTAGCATAATATAAATTCATTCCTTTTCATCAAATGAATTTCTCATAAAATTTCCTTTGAAAGAAATTTTAGCTAAAAGTACAGATGAGTGGTACTGGAAGTGAACTCATTCCACTGGTTACTAGAATGAGGAACTCAAGAGAACCAAGGGATTTTATTTATTTTACTAGTCTTGCAAATGTACCAGTTGATTCCAATAATAGAAACTTTGTTGAAACATTAGATATTTCCACCCTGAGAATACAATTTTTAATACATCAGACATATTACAAATATAAAAGGTAGTTTCTTACCATTCCTTTGCTTATCGATTCTATTAGTAACAGGCATGTTAGTGGTGACAGTAGGTGGTGTAGTACTAGGAGAGCTTACAGTAGCTGCTAACAAAGATGAGAAAAATGTAATTTTGCAAGGAGCACATGGCAGTTAATATGGATGAGCAACCTATAATTAATTCATGACACTACATGGAGAAGGAATGGAAACTATTTCTTCCCATTAACTACAACAGACTCTAAGGTATAATGCATAAAATAAAGCAATGCTTTCTATGGCACAGTAAGAATCAGTTCACATGGCCTTTGGTATCACATTTCAATAGTCTGGATCTGGCACAGAGGAAATGGAGAAAGGGCATTTAGATTCTAGACCTATGTCTGCGATTAACAGGCGGATGACCACACTGTGAATAAGTAAACCTTTACAGAACTCAGTTTTCTAAGTTTGTAAAAGCAAAAGGTTAGAGGAAACAGTCTCTATCGCACCAATCAGCTAGAAAATGATCCAAACTAAGTCAGTCTTCCTGATTCACTAAGAATGGAGAAATGAAATCTCAGAGAAAAACATATTTCTCTTTGAGAAGATGAAATAAAACAAAATGAAAGAATAAAATGTATAGACTGAATCAATCATTTATAGATCCCAATAACTTTACTGAACAGTGATGGACAAAATGGATTTCATAAGGACAAGCCTAAGGGGGAAACATTTTCAAAGCATTATGTCATAGAAATGCTTCTGATATTACTAAAACTCAAAGATGAAATCCTTATGTAACGCTTTGAAACTATTTTTCTATGGAATTCTGAAGGAGATATACAGGTTTGGGCAAAAGTAGGCTTACAGTTGTGAATACATGAAACATAGAGTTAATAAAGCTACTGTAATAATCATTTCCTTCATGTCTTTTTCCATTTAAACAATGCTAAACCTACTTTTATTTTGTTTCTTGTCATTTAGGACACAGGGGGGTGGATAGCTGGGCATCTGGCCCTGTGACCCAAGGAATCAGTACTATAGGTATCTCAGATTAAAAGAAAAAATAAGTAATTTTTAAAAACCTTTAGATCTTGAACTAGGCAAAATTATTTTTTTCTGTGTCAGATAATTACTTTTAAACTACACTGAGATTATGGAAACCACTTAATACTTTTATTTTCATAAGGTACTCATTGATAATAATATCAGGAATAATCCCTCAGAAAGGAAACAAGAAAATAATGAATTAAAACCCCATTTCCACATTGGAACCACAGAAGACACCTTTAGTTTCCATTCATTTAGTCTCACTTCTAACCCAAGTCACTTTCATGCTGTGTTCCTCCTAATAAGAGATCCAGCTTTTACAAATGGCATGATCATGATTCTTAATGTGGTATATAGAACAAAGAAGTATTTAATAGATTAAATGAATGAAAATGGGTCATGTAAATTAGGAACAGCGATAATAAAATTAAAGCAAAATATATAAGTTTAAAACATTCAGGACTTTAATTATGTATTATTTAGCATGCAACTGTTTAGTCCATAATAGATCATTAGAATGCTGGCATAATGTAGTCACCATGCATTATAATAACTAATAAAATTATATTAATATTAGTTTAGTATAACTAATTTCATTTCAATATTTAAGTTACATTGCACCTCATAAATTGCCTCACAGCCTTGTCTTAAGCGTAACTGAATATTCAACTTAATTTTTCCTCCTGTTTTTTAAACATGAATACTTTTTCAAGACATTGTATGACTGTATTTATACTGGACCTTTGCAATAATCTTGAGGAGACATAGAGGGGAAAAATGAAATCAACCCTTGGTTAATAGCATATAATCATTCACATTTAAAAAACTCAGTGTTTTATGGAAATGTGGTCATCCAGTCTGTGAATGCATTCTTTCTCCACACTGTACGTACTGTGCACCCACGCAACTAAAACACATCCAGAAATTCTTCTGTTTTGCTGGTTTCTGACTTCCCAAGAGAAAATTAAGATACAAATCAAAACAATAAAAATGCCATTATTCTAAATAGCAAGAAGAAAACAGAGAGACTCCAGAAGACAACGCTGGCTCCCTACCTTGGCAGAGGGTCCCCAAATCGGCACAGTTGGCTAGTTCTGCTGCTGGGAGCGGGACCAGGTAGGAACCTTGATCAACACAGAAGCTTATATAAGTTTGACTTGTGTATAAGATTTAATATTATCCAGAAGAAAAAAAAAAACATGAGTCATATGTTTGGTATAACAGGAGCAGCCCTAAAAGCATCCTCCAATAATACTCCAACATTAAGAGAGTCACTTAAAGTCTGTGTGTCTTAATTTCTGCACATGTAAAACCAGGTTATTGAAATATCCCTTAAAATCTGTAACTCAACTTATTGGCCATCCACATATGAAAGGAAAAGTTTGTGTAAAAAATCCACGGCCTTTTCACATAATAAATTATACAGCTCTGGTGGAAATCTGTACAGATGAAATAATATACACATCAAGATAAGTTTCAAAACTAAACTTGGCTATTAATACGCATAATATGCATTTTGTTGCTAGCCACTAACAGATGCTATTGACAATTCCAGAAATACATTTCTATGATTTCAAGGTGGTCTCTGTGTCTTTCTTTTTCAAGCTTTTACTGAGTCATTTTTCAGTAGGAAACAAGTTTTAGCTAATTTTCTAGTAGGAGTAGTGGGTTTTCTCTGTTGCATTACATCCTTCTCTGACAATTAACAGACTTTTATAAACAGGCGGAGGTGAGGGAAGCTGGGTTAAACTTTTCACAAAGCATACTGCACTATGAATAAAGACAGAGGATAAATACAGACACACACACATAAATACATATATTTAATTTTAAAAAGACATTTCAATTTTAAAAGGACATGTGATTCCATTCAAATGTTTAAACATTTTCCAAACTTTCCTGTGGGAATAGTACCTGCAGGTAGAACAGGCACAAAAAGATGAGCTAACAAAAGATGTCTAGGTAAATGGTGTGCATGAACAGAAAGCATCCCCAGTTTAATAGCATCTTCATTCTTGATTGCTTCAGGCACCTGGCCTAAAGAAGGAAATCATGTTACCTCAGAAGGGCCCAACCCTACAGGCAAGTCTGTAATGTTAACTGGTACAAAGCTCTCATTACAGGCCTTTACATGTTCATTCAATAAAAATTTACTGACTGTTTATAGCGTACGAGGCTCAGAGGCTAGAGTAATACATGAGATAATGTCCCTACTCTCAGAGAGGCATACATGGGAAATGGCTTCATAGTTCTCTGAAAGATATAAGTATTTAATAGCCCAAAGCAGGACGTGACCAGCAGTTTGGTGAGAAGGGAGAAGGGTGCATTCCATTACAAAGAAGAGCTGCGAAGAAGGTGAGGAGTCACTATACTGATCATGAGATAAGAGACTAGAGATGGGTATTTCTAACAGACAGAATTACTGAAACATATACCAAGAAGGCTGTGAAAAGATCTGGGTACCCAAGTGACATGGCATCACTGGGTATCTGTAGAAAATTGGTAGGAATGGTCAGATATACAGGTATGGATTAAGGGCCTTGTAGAATGTAGGCACCACGAGTGTTTTTCCAAGGATGGTTTATCCCATCCACATCTCAGATGGGTGCTCAACCTTTACTGAACAAATTACTGAATGCATGATGAACAACCGCTCACACTTCAACTCTTTCTTAAAGGAAATGGGAAAAAAGTGAAAGGGAACTAGGTGAGAAATTTTTATTTATGTTTGAAAACACCTTTGAAGCCCATAACCAATTAGAAGAGGGAGGTACAAGAAGCATGAATAACCCTATTGATTCAAGTTGGCATCATGACAAAAATGACAACGGACAGAAAGAGATAGCTACAAGGCATTTGCAAGTAGAATGTCTAGGATTCAGAGACTTTTTGGAATAGAGACAAAAGAGATGAAGACATTTTCTTCTGGTTTCTAGCTTGAGAAATTGGTACATAATAATCTCATAAAAGGAGATAGGCAATACTGGAAGAAGAACGAACTTAGGTGAGGGGGGCTCACCAGTAAATCCAGTAATGAAAACTGAGGTGCCTGAGAGACACCTGGACACACAGCAGGTGCACATGGGTTTGTAAGAGGTCTAGCCAGGCAATACTCAACAGAAGCGATAGCTGGGTCAAGGATCACAAGAGCTAGAGTGAAGATTTGAGAAGGATATAACCACAGGTATTCTCTTACTTAAGGATCAGATTTGAGAAGGTAAAAAAGAGCTTCTGTAGAAGGTGGTTTTTCAGAATTAAAGTGAAGGAAGTTTCATGGAGGGTGTGGCAATACCAAGCACACAAGAAAGGTCAAGAATGATAAAGACTGAGAAGACCTTTAGCTCTGCACTGGAATTTTGGTAGCAGTTCTAAAGAACTTAGCTTCAGGAGCGTGGGAACGAAGGACTCGAGATGCCAATGTTTGATTGAGGGGTGAATGCAAAAAGAGGAAGCGTGGCCATGAAAGGAAGCAGAGACAGGAAGGAGAGGTTTTAAAGATTGAAAGCTTGGACAAGTATACCATGGAAAAAGAACATTTGAGGAGACAGAAGTTGAGGTCAGCCTCAGGCAGGACTGAGGCAGAATACTATCTTGAAGGTTTTCTGCCCATTATTCTTAACTAATGCCCCGTTCTTGCCAGACCTTATTTCTCCTTTAGGTACTTACATGTTAGTAAGGAACTTCTAAAAACTAAAAACTCAAAATGAGTGAGGAAATCTCAGCCACTGTAACAGGCGACAGAGGAGACCCTTGGATGGAGTTCCTGTGCTTCTCAAATTACACACAATGTTGGCAGTCAAAGGCTCCCTGGCCACTCCTGGCCCTGATACAGTATCTCTGGACAACAAAGGGAGATAAGGGGACATTGTTGTGGGAAAGAAGTTTTATGGCTAACTGCTTTCCCACTGCAGCATACTACAGAGCTTAGAGGTCGGGATGGGAAAGAAAACCCGAAGAGTGATGATTTACAGTAAGACATTTGACAATTTTATTTAACATTTTATCAGGGTCATTGTATCATAACAAGTATACATTTCAATATGTGACAACCTCTTCATGGGAAATTGTAACATTTACGTCTCAATATTTAAGTTGTCAGTTGTTCCTTAAAGCCTAGCAAATGAATATTGCTTTATAAATACTCAATAAACACTACCTTATGGAGATTCAATATAGGAACAGATGTTAAGTTTGATAATTTTGGGGGGATAGTATAAATACAAGTGATGAGTATTATTAGAGAGAAATTATATTGATAAATAAAATATTGCATTATAAAAACAGCAAATTATATAATTACATGAAACATAAAAAATAGATGCAAAAAAATTTTTTTTTAAATTTCTAACTAGTTCCATGCTCAGCATATCTGCATAAAAAATCACTAATGCTTTCGGTTTTCCTAGGCCAACAGATTTACAAACCAGGATATCATTAGGCAAGCGAGACAATTCTCCCTCCTGGGTAAAGATAATATCTTTTTCATCAAGGAATTGTTTTTAGAATGTAACCTACGTATGTTCACTGATTTTTCTAGATACCACAAAGGTGTTTAAAAGTATTTAGTTAGTATTAAATGCAAAATTTAGAGTCAAATTTATTTGGATAAAAATGGCATCACTGAAAATGGGCAGTTGATGAGAAGCTGAATATCTTTCTTTTCTATCTGTTGTTCTTGCAAAATTATACTACTGAAAGGAATCACTATTTATTTACAGGGATTGTGGTAAAAAAGATTGATGTGTAGTCAACACATCTCATAACCTATTTAATCACAATCCAAATAATAGCAGACAGCAATGAACCCTTAGCATGAGTTACAATGGGGAAAAATAATTCCTTTTCAATTCTTTCTTTGCAGCTGTACTAAGCTAAATTTTACAATTTTTCCATAAATAAATATATCTCAAATAAAATTATCTCCAAGAGTCATTTATGCTCATAAAGAGTTTAAACATCTCCAATAAATAAAGTCCTTTGTAAAGATAAAGTGATTTTACCTTCATTAGGTGAATATAATGTATGTATACATTATCCTATATAATAAACTGCTAATATGCTAATTAGACCAGACAGAACAACCTTCCTGAATGACCAGTGGGCAGGGGGCGGAGCCAGCGATCCTGTGCTGCCAGGACAGCCATGGCAGTCCCAGCACCACCCCTTCTGCAGAAGTGGAACGGGGTGTGACCACAGCACCTCAACCTCTCGCAGCCCCTCCCCTGGGCGGCCCGGCCCTGATCACCCCCCCTCCACCAGTAGGTGGGGGCAGGCAGTGCTAAGGAGCAGAGAACCCAGCTGGCAAGCACAGCAGCAGTGGCGGGAGCCTCTCCTGCATCCGCAGCAGGTTGGGCCGTAAGGGGCGAGGGGTCTTGGACTGCGAGAGGGATGTCCACGGGGAACAGGCCTAAGCCAGCAGGTGGACATCCACTGAGGGGTCCCGGACTGTGAGAGGGTGCAGGCCTCCCACCCACTGTACAAATTTTCTGCACTGGGCCTCCAGTGTATATATAAAATGCTAGTCAAAAATTTGTTAGGGCCCTAGCCGGTTTGGCTCAGTGAATAGAGCGTCGGCCTAGGGACTCAAGGGGTTGCAAGTTCGATTCCAGTCAAAGGTATGTACCTTGGTTGCGGGCACATCCCCAGTAGGGAATGTGCAAGAGGCAGCTGATCGGGGTTTCTCTCTCATCGATGTTTCTAACTCTCTATCCCTCTCCCTTCCTCTCTGTATAAAAAAATGAATAAAATATATTTAAAAAAAATTTGTTAGGGATGGTAGAAAGAAGTTTATAGTGAATCAGTTTTAGGGCATGAAGAACAGAACTATAATAATTGAAAATGAAAGGGTAGGGATCCAAGAGTTGATGATGCCTTAGTAATTAAGGGCTAAATTTTACAATGAAAACAAAAGTTGGTACAAATCCAAACATTTCTAGAAAAGAATAACAACAAAGTTGGGTACTTATGAATTGTATCTTATCTCTATAACCACAGTGGCTAATAAATGGAAGTGCTTGTTAATGCTAGTTAAATAAATGTAATTTGTTTGAACTTAGGCTATTCATTGAGTTATACTGTATGACACCTCAGGAAAGAGCAGTCAGCGGTAAAATAAATAAAACTGGTAGAGAAGGCACTGTCTGTTCTTTGTGAAAAGTGGTGGACACTAGCCAGTATCTAAACTTGAATCATAACACAGGCAAATACTTGCACCTATAATTAAAGAGCCAGCCAAGAAAACTATCTATGGAGGTCATAAAACTGAATATGTTTAATGAAAATTGTTCTAAGAAAAAGAATGATGCTATAAAATAACAAGAAGTGCTGCTAAATAAAGCATTTCTTTCTGAAAAAGACTGACAAGATTAGCCATGCTTTTAAGAAACTCTGATGAAAATTTCTTAATTAAGGTATATTTCCCAACTATGCTTAGAATAGTTTAGGAAAACAAACAAACAAAAAAAGTCCAATTCTGACACTGTTGAAACACTTTTTTATTTTATTAAGGCTAGAATATTTCATATTCGAAAAAAGTGACAGGATATTTAAATGTAGATAATTCTAGCTTATTTTCATATGAAAACTTTACTTAGCAATACACCTTTAGAAAAAAATCTGTTCATTGTCCATCACAAGTTGATTCTGAAATAAAAGTTCACATTTAACAGACATCGTCAGGCCAATGGAATGTTAGGCATGAAATTCTACTTTCCCATTGGTTATTGTACTGATCATTAGTTTGGGGGAATTATTAGTACCATAAACAGCAAGCCACTACATTCTGGGGGGAAGGAAAGGTTAAGATGTTAATAGAGCATACTTTTTTCCAATTCTTGAAGTTTTGCTGAACTAATAAACTGCGATCTAATCTGTGTTACAGGTATTTCCTGTCAGTTAATAAGTGACTTGGTTCTTCAACTCCCAAAGATGATGATTAAACGGCAGGAAACTCCCTCTCCCTGTTATGGTTCCTGAAACTCAGTCCAAGATATCTGAATCTATGAAATGTGGGTGTTTAGTGTCATCTTGGAATGTCAAGAAGACCACTATAAAAATTAAAGTAACTCACATCACTGATTAGGTAAACTAGTGTCACTCCTTTGAATGAAATCATTTTGAAAATTTATAGATGACTGTGATACCTGAGCATGAATCTGATCTATTCTTGTAGTCTTAAGATTTGGGAAAGGAGTTTTAAATACGCTGTTAAAAACAAAACAACAAAACAAAACAACTCATGGGCATGGCTGTGTTTCAATAAAACTTGAAGGAAATAGATGACCCTCTTATTTTGTCAATCCCTGGTCTACATGATTTCTCAGAGAAATTTAGAAATTCTTGTACACTATATCCCTCACATTTTATTATATTAAGGCACTCAAGAAGCACTGCAGAAAAGAAACCTTATTAATTAAAAAAAAAACACAAAGACATGTTAACCTCCTGGAAAGCTAGCATTTTCCCGCAGAAGGCACTCTGGCCAGAAGAGACAGCTCCTGGATCTTCTAGTTTTCACCTGGGTAAGGATTAGCTCACCTGCTCTAGCACTACGTCCCGTTTTCTAGTCCTGCTTATTCTGAAGGACAGTCTTATTTATCTGGTTAAGAATGCATTGCTCTAAAACCAGTTCTTGAATTGGCCACATTTTTGAAGTGACATTGGTTAAATTCCTTAACCTCTTTGGGTCTCAGATTTCTCTTCTGCAAAATGAGGTTAATAATAAAACCCACATCATGAGATCTATGTTGTAGAAAATGAGTTAATATGTGTACTAGTAAAGTGCTTAAAACAGTACCTAGAAAATAATATATATATTCAATTAAGTATAAATTGTTAGCAATTACTAATATACCTAGCTAATTCTTTTCTTTTTTTGTTGTTTTTGTTTTGGTTGCCGGAGTCCTCAAATTCTGCCCCACAAAAAGACAAATGCTAAATGGTCTTCATTATGACTTTTAGTAATGACCCAGGACATGGTGAAAACAGGCCCCTCTACTAAGGATGCAGGAAGAGACCTACTGCCCTCCACTCCTGTCCACCATCCCACACCAAACACACACACTGGACCTTCTCGATTTCCTCACTGAGTAGAAGACTTCTTGGGGATCCCTGAAGGTGCTCTGCTGCTAATCAGACCGAGAGCAGCTGGGGAACACCTTTAGCTCTTACAAAGTCCCACAGTCTCCTTCTGGAACAGGGTCGTGGTTTACCCTCTTTCCAACAACCCACAAGGAAATAACTGGCAAATGACATCACTTAATAGCCTCCCAACATCTGCAGCAGCACCATGACCACACGGAGAGGTGGGTTACCCACAAAGATGGGAAGGTGACAGGAGTTCCCCAGGCCAGCAGGGCAAACATAGGTCAGGGAAACTGGGGAGGTGGCCTCAGGTCTGCACAATGGGGCCTACTTTCTTAAAAATATTGGTAACAAATTTCTGAAAGAATCCCTTCCAAGTTCACATACAAATTACTTTTTAATATTAGGCCACTTCTCTCCTTTAATGAGAATTATTTCTGCAACTACAAATTATATTTATCAATACCTTAGCTTTAGTCATATAACATTCAATATGATAATGAAACTTTCACAGTTTGCATTTTATTAGTCCTGTAGTAAAATAAGGACTTCCAAAATTAACTTAGGTACCCTAGAGAATATTTGATAGAGGTCTATCCTATATAATAAAAGCATAATATGCAAATCAACTGAGTGGCAGTCCGACCAGTCGGCGGGGGGTGGCGCCAGGCCAGCTGAGGCGCATGCCAGCAGGCAGGGCTAAGCAGTGACCCAGCAGCAGA